AACAATAGTAAGCATTAACAGACACCATCAAGCAGTCATTGTGATCACAATCAGGAATAAAAGAGCACATGGACTACAAAAGCATCACGACTGGCTGCAACTCATTATTCAGATGCAAAATCTAATTTGCTGTTCAAATAATCATCACTATGCTTCGCAGTTATTTTCATATGATCTCATTTGTGTCCAGATAATCCTTTGCAATCACTCTATTACCGGTTGCTTATGTTTGTACGGTAAATCTGTGACATTTCCAATCTGATATTTCTCAATGTAATTTCCATGACAAATTTGAGACATAAGAACTTAAGACATAAGAGACATAACAACTAATTCCAGCCTAAACCCAAATTTGCACCTGCAAGCTAGAAAAAGCAATGTGTCTCAAATGCTGTCCACCCACAATCTTCAGAGACAGAAAATCAAAGTCCTCCTGGGACAAACTATGCACCCTGATTGAACAAGTTTCACTAATGGAGGAGGAGAAATGGAGAACGTACCACAGGGTCCTTTACTGTGTCCATTAGCTGAATGATGTTGGTTCCTCCTCGCAAGTTCTCCAGGATCTTGATCTCTCTCTTGATCTTCTTTTTCTTGACAGGCTATTTTAGAAATTAATGATGTAACAATATAAAACCTAGTCAACATTAAAGGAATAGTTCACCCAAAAATGAAATTTTGTCATCATTTTGTGTTCAAAAGAAGATATTCTGAAGAATTTTGAAGAAGCAAACAATTGTTGGTCCCCATTGACTTACATAGTAGGGAAATAAATACTATGGAAGTCAATGGGGACCATCAACTGTTGGATTACCAGCGTTGTTCAAAATATCTTCTTTTATGTTCAACATAAGAAAGAAACTTAAACGGGTTTGAAACGACATGAGGGTGAGAAATTGATGACAACATTTTCATTTTTGGGTGAACTATCCCTTTAAAAAAACAGTAAAAACCTCATGACATGGCTTAACAAACACTGTGGTAAGTTGAAGTAGGCATTTCAAAAGGCTTGTCTCTGTTTAAAAACAGCCTTTCGTTTACCTCAAAAACAGAATCTGCTATTGCTAGTGAGAATATTAAGAGGAGGGACATCTACATTATATTTCAGAAAAACCACAATATTTCAGCCCTGTAGCCCTAAATAGGCAGATGACAAAGGCCTTTGATTGCACACTGAATACAATCTCTCACCTTGAGGATTTTGACCACCACCTTCTCATTGTTGTTGATGCTGATGGCCTCGAAGACCTCGCTGTATTTGCCCCTCCCGAGCTTCCGTACCAGCTGGTAATCCTCCTGGTTACTGCAGGTGGTACACAGATTCACATGCCAGTCAGATAGAGCATCTACACCAGAAACCAGCACAGAAACATCTCCAGCCCAGCACGCAAACACGCGGCTTCTGCGAGCATGAAGGGGCTGAAACACATTCAACCATCTGTGAAAATGACCAAGCCCATCATTTCCCCTGTCATTTCCCCTGTCAGCTGAGGGCTGACGGACGTTTCTACCAAGGGACCGAGCCAAAGACGACATTTTAAGCATTGGTCTGCTGTCTGAAACACTTTTAACTATAGTAATGAAATGCCACTATTCTTAAAGAGCCTTGTACATGCAGAATCACATTTTTATCTAAATCAAAATGGCTTAACATGAAGCAGCAAGTTACAATAAATACAAGTGGGCATATATATATATATATATATATATATATATATATATATATATATATATATATACATACAATATACAA